TTTAAATATTCCTCCAGAACACCAAACTTACCTGCCAGGTATTTGAAAGATGATTCACAGAATGAATATAAGAATTAAAACTAATTATATACAAAATTTGCCTGTTATAATATTTCTAATTCTTATTTTCTTTAAATACCATGTCCTTTCAGGATGTAGGCAATCAGGGATCTCCACAGATGTCTTGTCATTATATTTGTGAATTGCTATGATTTATTGGAAAAAGATAGGTTATTTTCATATGGTTTCTCTACAGTTTTGAATTTAGAATTATCCTTCTCCAAGCCAATAAAAATGGACAATTCTCAGTTATACACACATTTTTTTTTCTTTTTGTCTTAAAGTCAGAGGTCAGTTTCATTTAAAAATGCACATTTATTCAACAAAAGTAATAATATTTATTTTCTTGTGAGCAGATATTTACAACTTATACCAAAAGAAGACAGAGATATTATCAGTATTCATTTGGTTAACATAGAACAAAAACATTTTGTCTTGTTATGAAATGGAAAGTATTTTTGTTTTTTGGAATGTGAAAAATTGTCCAGTGTATTCTAAAAAAAGAATTATATTTATAGACAAATCTTACTGAAGCATTTTGGGATTTCTTTCTAACCAATAAAATTAGTCAATTCTCAGTCTTATCAACATATTTTTTTTTCTTTTTTGCCTTAAACTTAGAAGGCTATAACCACTTGACTGTATCTCTTGTGTGTGAAAGCTGTTTCTATTTTGTGAACTTTTTACTTTGTTACTGTCTTATAGTTGCTTTGCTTTGCCTTGTATTACATTGTTCATTTCTTGCATTTTTTGCTTTGTTCTTCTTATTTTTATTATTGTTATTACTGAGAACTTGGTGAAATCCACTTAAAAATGTTTGCCTATTCAACAAATTTAAACAATATCTACTGTGATGTAATTCATATCAAGCATAATCCCAAGGATATTAGATGCAGATTTTATTTTCAATGTCTGAAGATTTCCTTAAATGGAGATCAAAGACAAACTTGCCAAAATTAATAAGCAATTGCTTTTGCATTTATTATAACAGGCAAATCTGTTTGTTAATCTCATGATAACTTAATTCCAGAGCTAGAAAATTTGACTACAAGGGGATGCTCAAAAGTTCTCAACCTAACCAAGTAGTATTTCTAAAAAATTTTGTCATTTGGTCAAAATTTTTGGAGTGAGTTAGACTGATAACTTTTCAGTATTTCCTTGTATATGAGGTGGTAAAAAATTTTAAGGTTGGCAGGTGAGTTTTGCGCTGTTGTTTCTTGGTTGATGAACTTTGACATAAAGTTTTGGAACCTTATTTCTGCAGAAACATGACCACCTATCTCAAATATTTTATGATGTGTGAAAACAATTAATCACAAATTTTCAGCAAATGACGCTGTCAACAATCTCAAAATCATGATAAAAAAAATGAAGAAAAAACTCAAAAAAGAAAAAAAATCGCAGATATTCACATAGCTTTATACTTTTGATAAAAATTTTGTAAAGTATTTTGCAACAAGAGATTTTTTTCAAGTTTGTAAAAAAATAAATGTGTTACAATGTACTTTACTAATAAGAAGCATTGAAAAAAAATTTAAGAATTTATTGAAGATATGAAATATTATTCAAAACTTAGGGATAACTTAAAATAAGAAATGACTTCCTCAAAAAAAAAAAATGTAAAAAGAAGTTCCTGTGGAAATGATTTTAAGAAATGTGTGAAATATCCAATGACATATGAAAAATGTCAGACTGGATAATTTGACAAATGAATACATTGATGAATCTTTTCAAATTACTTGAATATTTGAGTAGCATTTTGTATATTTACATATGTTTATAGATGTATGCATGCAAACATATATATATATATATATATATATATATATATGAATGAATGAGAGAGAGAGAGATAAAAAATATATATATATATATATATATATATATATATATTAATTTGATTAAGTTCTTCTGTCAAGGTTAACAATGAGAATAAGTGTTGGAGGAAGTTAACAAGTGATTGTTCAGCTGCTCTCTCTCTCTTATTTTGTAGACGTATATATATATATATATATATATATATATATATATATATATATATATATATATATATATATATATATATATATATATGCACACACACATACACATTGAAAATGAAACAGAACTAGGGACTTTAATTTAATTTAATTCTATAATTGAATTTGAAGTTTTTACCTTCTGTTTTTAAACATGGTAATTCCTGTGTAGTGATGGAACCATATTTTAAATAAGTAAATTCATATATGCATATATATATATATATATATATATATATATATATATATATATATGAAAGTGTGTGTATATAAATATAAATATATATATATATATATATAATTATTTATATATTATATGTGCGGTACTTATTAGAAAGCGCTCACTATCAGAGATAGAGCTAACATATTTTTGCTTGGATTGATGTGAGTTTTTTGACCCTGGGTTTTCACGCTTTTGTGATCGTCAGACAAACTCTGAGTTTGTCTGATGATTTAAAAGCGTGAAACCCAGTGTATTAAAACTCACATCAATCCCACCAAATATATATATATATATATATATATATATATATATATATGATGGTTGTATTGATATGTGAAACTGTCAGCCACCATGCAGTGTCAATCCCTATAACAAAACACACACACAGACACACATGTGCATGCATGTGTGTGTATGTGCATGCATGTGTGTGTATGTGCATGCATCTGCACACATGCATTTGGATCAATAGGTCTGCAGTCTGAATTATTAGCAGATCAAACATCTGAAATTCTTGCTCTATAATGTTTGGTTTATCTGGTTAATATTGACTACTGAATTAAGGGCATTGATAAGGAAGATGATAATGCCAAAAATAAATATTTATTGTGTGAAATAATTTCATTTTCTTCATTAGGCTACAGACTTATTGATCTACCTGATAATGATACCCTGACTAAAACTCCACACTATACATACCTATACACAGAATGCTACCCAAACTTTAAGGAACTCATGCTGAGATATATCTTTCTCAAAGAATGAAAAACAATAAAAAAAATGAAATTCTTTTTTTTAATTTTGGTGAAATGATTTTGAGAGACATAGGAAATGTTAGGTGTGACATGGAGAATGCTGGGTAACTTAACAGAGTAACAAATTATTGAATCTTCAAATATCCAAAATTTGAGGACAATACCTGATAGAATTTCAAATTTCTTCATTAAGCTGACTGTAAATTATTTAATGGCTCAATCAGAATTGCTTAACTCCTTGCAAATCCCAATTGATTCATTTAGGATTTTCTAGGAGGTGAATCCAATTGATGAAGAAAAAATTGCTAACTTCTGCTTCATTAAATTGTTTTAATTACAACATTATTATGACTTTACTTTTTCATTTCCGATTCTCATTTTAAAAGTCAGGTGTGGATCCAGGCTGAAGGGGAGTTAAAGCATAATTCAAAAAATAAAATTGTTATGAATGTTTATAAAAAACACCCAAAATAATGACAGGTAATCATAAATTAAGCTACAAAAACAAAAAAATTATTTTATTTTTCATTCAATATATTAGATGTGGACAAACAAGATTTTTTACTGTGTATCATTAAATTTCTTTTTTACTTTGATTTTTCATCAATTTTCACCTAAAATGCAAATGGAAATTTTTCATTTTGAACCTCACCCTGCTCAAAGTTTGGATCCACTCCTCTCTGTTTTTATTTTTGGTTTTTGTTTTCAATATTTTTTTGCTTGAAAATTAAGAAAACTGTGAAAAATTAAAATTTGGTATGTCTGCAATATATGGTATGGTAAAAACAAAAATTCCTTGAAAGCACATGTGAATAATATAGATGGTTTTGTAACTTTTGTGAAAATCAATTAACTGAAATTCAACATACATTTAAAAAAAAATTAACTTCAAGAATGACAACATCTGTTGATAAAAAAATCAATAAGATTTAAGTTTGTAATTCAATATTATTCCTCAGCCACATATCCAGTACATGATACTCAGCCAGACAGGCCAAACCAACATTTTAGAAAAGATAATTCAGTAATTCACTCTATCATATTATAATTCTGCTTGTTCCTCTGTTAGATAGTAAGTTAGTTAACACTGCCACTGCCTCATATAAATAATGGACCAATCTGTTTTAATCATGAAGAAAGATGGAATCAAAAAATATATCAGAGATTTTAGTGAGAAAAAAAAACAAGAGCGTACATGAAAGAAAGAAAAAATAGAGGAAGTGATAATGTTCTCATGCATTTAATGTCTGCTTCAGTGAAATGGAAAACCTTGTCAATTTTAAATATTTTTATCCTCTTAATTCTTTAAATAATGACTTGCATTCATACTTATGATTGTTACTCTTATATTTGGTTAAAGTTGTTAAGCTCAAATATTTAACAATGCAATAGGAGAAATTCTATGGATATTTTATAGTTATGGAACACACAAGGAACTTATTCAATAATTAAATTAAGAGTTATAATTTATCAGAAAATTAAAACAAGAAAAACACAAAATTTTCCCATATACTACTAGTAACTATAAATAAGATGTGAAATAAGTCTGACGCATAGTTGTTGGTTGTTAGTAGATCTGAAATTTTCACAGTATAATCTATGATCTATGTTGTTATTCATTACTGAATTAAGGCCACTGACAAGGAAGATGGTTATGTTAGTCAGTAATTATTTTTTGTGTAAAAAGTAAAAAAATGTAAAGCATGAGGTTGTCTCAGTGAAGATAGTATGCAGGTGAATGAAAACTGTTGAGAGTTTAAGGAAATAAAATGTGTGTAAAAATGAAGTTATGAATGAATCAAGAAGCATCAAATAAAATATGTGTAAAAATGAAGTTATGAATGAATCAAAAAGCATCAAATAAAATGTGTAAAAATGAAGTTATGAATGAATCTAGAAGAAGCATGAGACTCAAATGAAAAAGAAAAGAAACTTGATAAATACCGTTTTAAAATATTAGCACGTAGTTTTGCTTTAATTTTGCTAAACTTGGGTTCACCGGTTTCTGGTTTCTCCGTGGGTCTGAAAGAGAAATTGGCACAATTTCAGAAGATTGAACACTATTCAAACAGGACACTGAGTCCCACAGAAATGATTTTGCTTGTAACTGTATCACTGCATATGAATAAATATGTGAACAATTAATTAAACACTGGCCATGAAAAAAAAAAAAAAAAAAAAACACAGCTAAAAACAAGTAATACATTTCTATGCAATAACAGCATAAATTTATTTCTAATTTTTCTTTTTTTTCACTTGTGTGCAATCCACAAGCATGCTGTTGAGCATGCACCATTGCGGAGTGTCTCTGAAAGATGAATTCAATTGGAAGCAAGTTATGGTTGCTGACATAATAGAATATAGTTTGGTATGGTTTAATTTGTTTTCCAAAATGATATATGATTTGAAATCTGAACAGAAATTATTATTATGAATAATTATTTGCTTATTTTATTACTAGCTTTATTCCATCTTATTGTTGGTTTTTATCACATTCCGGGTTAGTAAAATTTTCTATTCCATGAGCAGACAGCAAGAAAATTCAGAAACAAAAAATGTAGAACAGCAACTAAAAGGGATAGTTAAGTGTCAAACATTGCTTAGAGCTACAAGGAAGAGGAAGATGAAGAGAGCCATGATTCAAGGGATATAGTATAAAAAGAAGTTTTGGACAAGACTTGAACTTAAATACCACACTTCAGGAAACTCATTTACAGACATAATCCAAGCCATTTTGGTCACATCAATGTTGATGATTAAATTAAAAACTATTTGTCAGAATTCTGCTACTTCTGTCTCATCAATTCTCTATGCCATCTTCATTTTGCTTCTTAAGAGTAAATACAAATCTGTTACCATTCTGCTAATACTTCCCATCCAATTCTCTACATCATTTTTCTACTTAAGAGTAAATACAAATCTGTTGCGCTCTGCCATTCCTTATTCTCCTATTCTCTGCACATCTTCATTGGACTATCTGAAATGTTGTGATAAAAATACAAGATGGAGTAAAGTTAATAATAAAATGCTAATATAGAAAATATTTCTTCAGAAAGTTTTTATATTCTCAAATTTTTCCTTTATGTATGTGTAAATCTGAAAATTATTTTCACTCAGATTTTTTTTTCAGAGTTCGACATTTGTCCATCTCAAAGTGATAAGATAGATATCAAACAGTTAAATATGTTAGTCTAAAAAATAAAATAAAAGCGATGATCATTTTTGTGGAGTAAAAAATAAGCCTCCTTCAGTCAATGTTTTTCAAGGATAGATATAATGTATATTTTTAATCTGGTAAGAAGATTAATTCAAAAGAAACATTTGAGTTTTTAATTTTTTTTTCCTTCGCATCTTTTTGAGACACTTTTTATGTAAGTATTTCTATATAAACAGCTCAGTTTCTCTAGGCTTTAAGCAATTTAAGCAAGAAATACTATAGGCTTCTAAGATGACTGCAAGGCCAACTGTGATTATAGGCTAAAACACACACACATTTTTTATATATATATATATATATATATATATATATATATATATATTAAAATTGTATGAACACTGCAAGCCAAAAGCAGAAAAAAGTTTTTGCTCAGAAATTAGCTGCATGCACCTGAGAAATATGAATGCTAAAGAAAATATACTGAAGCTTTTCATAAAATTAAAATGGATGCAGTATATTTTTAATGCATTAGAAAGTTTAAAGCTGAAGATTGATCTCACTTTTTTTACCTGACCTCATATTTAAATTTTCATTTTTTTTTTAAAATCGTTAATCAATTTGAAGATCATAAAGAACAAATAGCAAAAAATTAAATTTTAAGTGGATAATGGCATAATACACTTTGAGGAGGAGATGAAGTATTGAATACTTACTTAATGGTATATTAATAACCAAGAGACATTTTCTGCTTGTAAAAAAATGATCTTTCTTTTCAAAAAATTATTTCTGAATAATTTCAAATGGTACTTAATATATTTAATACTTTCAAAAATGTATTTTGAAAATACAAGCACTCCCCCTCCTCAATACCTTCACTGTTGGTTTAAGATTTATCAAGGATTGTGAACATTAACAAAAAACTAATTAAATAATTTATGGTGAGTAACAATTTTATTATGACTTTTAGGGTGGATATCTTAAAAATTATATATTCACATAATATATACAAATATATTGAGAAAGAAAGAAATGGAAGGAGAGCAAGTAAAAGAAAAAGATCACTCATTTTAAGCTGGTGAAATGAAAAATATGGCAACAAAAAAAATACAACAAAAATTGCTCCTCATTCTACTGAGCTCAATCATGGAAAAAACATTGAAATATGTGCACAAAATTTAAAATCAAGAGGGAGAAAACAAAAACAGATATTTATATTACCATAAAATTATAATTATAGCAGAACAAAATGATTAATTCAATTTGTATTTTGTCTGTCATTGGAGATTTTTTTCTCACTTGTCAACAGAGCAGATTCAGATTCCCATTTGGAATTGTTGCAGACTCTGTATATTAAATCTAAGCAACCTTCTCTCTACAAGTGTACAGAATGGTTGCTGTCTGTGACTAAAAATGCTGATTCTCTGGTAATATAAATTTTTCTCTTCCTTGATTTTAGTCATTTTGCATTTATATATAATTTCTTTGATTGAGAGCTGAAGAGTGAGGCATGATATCCAGTTATTTTTTTTTTGTTATGTTTTTCAATTCCTTGTTTTATGGTGAGTAATATTTTTTTCTTTTTCTTGCTCTTCCTACCAACTTAGTTTTAATATATATGTATATATTGTGTGAATATATACTTTTAAAAATGTCTATTAAGTGTTTTTTTTTAAGTCATAAAAATCTCATTATTGACAGCGGTTAACAGTCAAAGGGAAAGCAAGCAAAGATTTTCTGACATAATTTATCATGTACTTGTTTGAATAAGGTAAAAGATCTTAGTGTATGATTTGAGAGATAAAATATTACTGTAGTGACAGTCATAGATCTATTTCTGGATTCTGAACCAATCACATTTCTAACTGATGTTTACAAAGTTTCAATGTATGGAAAGATCATTGCTACATGATCCCAGAAATCTTTCAGATTATGTATTTTTTTTAATCATTTCACCCCAAGCAAGATGATAGTGGCACTAAGATGCAAGGGGTTACAGTGAGTGAAAGAGACTGAGAAAACTTTAGAAGGAATCAGAAACCTCATCCTAAACAGGAAACAAAGAATAAATATCTACTCCTGTTCAATAAATGGAGAAGGAGTGTGAACTGGGCAAAAGATGCTTGTATTTATGTATAGATGGTATAAACAAGCATTATTATTTACAATGTTTCTATGTATGGAAAGATCATTGCTATAAATCTTTCAGATTATATGCATGTAGTTAAGCACAGATTGTATAAACATCAATAGAGTAGTCAGTGGTATGAATTATATTTTCAGCCATAGCAGTTTTTCTGATCCTATATATAAATGACACTTTCATAATCTCAGCTATGCTGATAACTAGTCTAAATTAGTCAAGTAGTAACAGTTGGTATTTAGTGCTATTTAACAGACTCAGTTGTAAGAGAAATATCTTTGACTTGGGTGAAATTTGTACAGTCAAATCAAAGTTATTGTGAGTGCACACATCATGGAAAACAGGTCATGATACTTAGTAAGCAGAAGTTTATTCCTTATAGTATCAATCAGATACAAATATATTCATAAAAGACAAGTGATGTCCAGTCCACACTGGGGACAATTTCTTGAAAACTTTAACACATATTAAGTAGCATTTATATAACTAATAAGACTATATAAGAAAAACAACTGACATATATAACAACAATGTTAGAGAATTTTAAAGCAATTATTTTTTAATTTTTAGTGCTAAGAAGTATATAAATATAAATAGTTTGTGACTAATCTTTGCACTAAAGCAACATGATTGATTTGTTTTTTAAGGGTTATTTAAAGCCATAAAATATTTATTTTAGATTGCAATATTTTTTTTTTGAGATAATAATGATTTAGTGATATAAGTTTTACTAATTAACTTATGGCTGGGAGGAGAAGATGTGGATTCATACCTTTTTTCCAATGGTATTTGCACATAAGTGAATATAACAAACCCAACTAGAATTGGAATTCAGTTCTTCTATTGAAATTACAAGTTGTTAGCAATTACCTCACCTGCATAAAGTACCTGGTATTCCCAAGTGGTAATCCATCTAGATACTGACCTTAAAGCAACAGGAGTACCACAATGTTTTTTTTTATTTATGATACACAGATTCATGTAAACTAATGTCCTCCAGGCCTACCCCTAAGGGGTAGTGACAAGTGCAGGGTGGCAGTATGACTGCTCACCAGAAAATCTTTTGTCCCCACCACTGTGAAAATTAATTAATTTTACTTGTGTCAACCTGAATTACCAGCTTTCCATACAAATCACTACGAAAATGTGCCTGGTGTCTTTATTTTCATTGTCATAGTCCCTTTTTAGATATTGTTCTGTTTGACTTCTTCAGATGCCATATTTAGTAACATTCTGGAAATTTTGAATAAAACCTTTTATTTATTCCATTTGGAGTAAATTGTTCCCATATATATCAGACAATTCTTCCTTTTCTTACCACTTCTGCTCATTCTACTGAAACAGGATATATAAATTCCATTTCAGGCATTGAACACATGTTCAACAAATAAACTGCATATACTTTTAGATACTTTGGTCCAGTGCTCCTGCTATTTACCTAGAGATCCTTGATAAAATCCAAAAAAGAATCACCAATATTGTTGGCCCTGATGTGGCATCTCAGCTTCATTCACTTTCCCACTGCCATAAGGTTGCCTCCTTTTGCCTTTTCTATAAATATTTTCATGGTAATTGTTTGCATGATTTTTTCACTATGGAGCCTAGACTCTTTGAATTTAAGTGCAGTACTAGACTGGCGACGAGGTCTCACCAATTTAGAGTTGCGTTAGCTAGATGTAATCATAAATTCTATGCTAACAGTTTTTCTCACACTTCTCGTTTGTG